TATACTCAGCGTGATTAAAAAAAAATTAACTTTTGAGTGTTGTGGTTGTTTCCTCTAATGTGAAAGTAAATAATATTAAAAAGCTTCCTTAAAAGCAAATACCATATATCAAAACCAGCACGTGTTCAATTTGAATAAAACAAAAAACAACGAAACTCAAAGCTGCATCTCAATCAAGTATTAATGTCTTGCTAATTAAAAAAAATAATACACTGTACTTCAAACAAACCAACTCAACAGACGAACCTGAGGGCAGCCCGTTTCTTGACGCAAGATTCAGCTGCCTTGACTTCTCAAGTTTGACAAAGGAACAGTCAGACCAACATCAAAGGACTTCTGCCTTTATAAAATGTAGGCAATTCCCTCTGAACAAGGGAGGTGATATGCAGAAGATACAGCTAGATGGGGATACTATCTTCCCATCTGGCTCCTAGATCGGTTCCTAGGGATCTGCAAATACATAATAAGCTCACTAGGTATTTCCCAAGGGTGTTTGGGAGGGGGGCGCGGGGGGAGGCGTAAAGGACAAAAGGCAAATTAGCTAGTTGGATGATCTTCCAATTTGTGAATTTGTACAAATTAATTTTCGAACAATATGAATCCTGGAAGATGCAATCCCAAACCCCCTAAACAAAAGAGGGAGAGAAAGAAAGGAGAAAACCTTCCTCATTACCAACCAAGAACCCATGGCCCTCCAGATCAGGGGTCTCCAACCTTGGCAACTTTATGACTTGCGGACTTCAACTCCCAGAATTCCTCAGCCGGCGCATGCCAAGGTTGGAGACCCTTGTTCCAGATGATAGCAAATCATACCATCCTTGACCGCTAGCCACCTGGGACTGATGGAGGCTGGGATCTAAGGATCCTGGAAGGCTTTCACACAAGGCCAACCCCCCCCACCCCCGCACCAATTTGGAGAACAAAGGCAGAGGCTAGTCTACTCACAGCTTCATGGAGTCAGCCAGCATGGCAACTATAAGACTTTGACAAGTCAACAACCTGATTCTTAATTGCCCAACGTAAACCAACCGCCCGGAATGGCAAGGATCATTTTAATAACCACCCAATATTCATAGAAGGTACAATTTCTTTTCACCAGTGACTCAGCCCCTCAATTTTTTTTTTAATGCAACCCTTTGGCTTTCACACAATTAAGGCAGAGTATACCCCCTTCCAAACAACCACTGCATGACTGAACGCTGGCGGAGAGCCCAACAAGAGCACCAACAGCTGAATCCCGCCAGGAGAGGCTAAAGAAGGAAGTCCGGGAGGGAGGGAGGGAGACAGCTGACCAAGGCTTGCATTATAAATTACACCCATGTCAGAATCAATAAAAAATAAAAGTTTTCAAAAGAGCTATTTTCCTCCCCCCCCTTCTCCCACATCCAATGCTTTCTTGATTTCAATATAAAAATTAGCCGGCTGGCAAGTGTCCCATGGGAGCAGGAGGAACAAAAGAAGCCAGGTGAGGTACAGAAACCACAAAACTTCATATTGATCATCTCCACCAGGCCAAAAAAAAAAAAAAAAAGCACCATGGGGTTCAGAACTGGAGAGGCACAGTTTGTCCGATGTCAATAGCACCAAGAGAAGCTCTGTTACATCTCTGCTGATGTGCCAGTCTTTTTATTTCAGAGAAAACGATGGTTCTGTTGTTAAAAGAAGTTCCTCTTCTTCTTCCTCCTCTTCTTCTTCTTTCAGTTCTACAACTTCAGGTAGAACGGAAAAAATGTCGAGAGGGAGGGGGGGCCGTGTGTGTTTTAAACATTTAAAAATATATAAATATCTACTCTATCAACAATACAAACTGGAAGCTGTTTCTAAGCATTTTCTTCTGCAGTCTGAATACATATATATTTTAACTTAAGATTCACAGTAGCATTTTCTTTCCTCTGGTTTTACATTTATGACTTAAGTTTGAGTCCAGTAGTAAAAGAGAAGTGGGGGCATGGGGAAGTGAGGTCATGGGGGGGGGGGGAAGAAACCCTTAAGCCATAGAGGCAAGCACCTTCAGTGGGAGCTGAGAGAAGTTGGTCCATGTTGTCCTTGCATAGGTCACATCAGGTTGAGGTAGAAGTCCTAGTTACCTGCAAAAGAGGAAGGAAGGAAGGGAGGGAGGGAGGGAGGGGAAGGACAAGAACAAGATTCAACTTTAGGTTGGCATTTTAATCAAAGTCAACTATGAGTCTTTTTTTTTTTTTACATTAAATAATTCTTTCCAGACTGTCAAACAACAGGCCTAAAATAAAGTTCTCAGCAAGCAAGCAAGATGGACTTAGAACATTCTACAGTTTTGGCACTCTACCATGGACATGCAGAAGGTCGATGGGAATGAAGAGCGAATTTATGATGTCTTCCTGCTTCCGGTGATTTAACAATAGCAAAAAAGGCTCCCTGTCTACCTCCAACAAGCTGAATAAACCTCAAAGAATTCCTGATCTGTGCAAAATAAGATTTGTATTGGAATTTACAAAACATCCCAGATAAATCTTGTTGGTTCCTATTTAATGAAGTGGCGCAATGTTTTTATCTACTTATTTATTTATTGGATATTGAGGCTGCCCAACTGCAAATAGACTCTGGGTAGCTTACAACATTTAAAACAACACAGGATTCAATTGGAGTTGGGCAGCCCTTGAATTAAATCAAATCATAAAGAAATGAATTAAATAATTAAAGAAACATGACATAAATAACATTCAGGGGGAAAAATCCACAGGAGCCTCCACAAATATCCTAACTCTAGAGCTGACTTCGTATACTGTGTGAACCCAGTCAATTGATGATCATCCAACAATCATAGTTAAGCAAGCCAAATAGTTAGGCAATCCAGAAAATTAGTAGATAGATCCTCCCTCTGAATCATTTGTCTCCACTCCCGGCCTATGTAGCTTGAATGGATGGACGTTGCATTTTGCTGAGGTATATGGATATAGTAGACCACGGATGTCAAACTCTTCACATGACGTATCGTGACTTTTTCCCCCTTTGCTAAACCAGGGGATGGGAATGGACTGTATGACACATCTGGCCCATGGGCCACGAGTTTGACACCCCTGTAGTGGACTGAATAAAGCTTGGAATTCACTTATGCTGCCATAGGCCAATTAAAATATAATACCAAAGCCATAATATTGATTGCTTGATATTGGCTTATTATACTGTGTGAATTGAGTATGCGCTGGCTGAGGAATTCTGGGACTTGAAGTCCACAAGGCGTAAAGTTGCCAAGGTTGGAGAACCCGTGCGGTAGATGACACTGTTTAATCCATGAGTCTCTGAGCATGCCAACTCTGTTTTAGCACCTGTATCTGTGTCCGATCCCTGATTATAAAAGGATAATAAGGAGAAGACATGTGAGGCTGATTGAGGAGATTTCTAAGGCCGCCTCTCTTACCGGCCATAACTCTGGGTGGCTCTCCCAATGAATCAATTAAAACAAAATAAACTAGAAAAGCACACATCTAAAGAATAACTCCCTGTGCTCTAAACAACAGTTCACAGAATACTGAGTTTCACCCTATCCAAATGCTTGGCCTTTTACACAACTAGGCCCTCTGTCATGTAGGCCTTTGTAGGTAATAACCGGCACCGGAATAGTCCCCCAATTTAGTGGTAACCAGGGCTATATGGATGTAGTAAGATCTGCCTGTAGCGGTTCACATCGTTAATTTCTGGACCAACTGAAGTTTCTATGTGGTCTTCAACAGCAGTGAAATCCTCCTGCTACCGAGCTACCGTCGGCTACTGAGTGTGTGCTTTGCTCACATGCGCACCTGAGGCGCACCCACAGTGCACTAAAAAAGAAACACTTTGAAGCCTTCCAGGTAAGTAGAACAGTGAGGGGGGGAGGAAATCCGCTGTGCCACACAATTTAGATTAGCTAGAAACAGGAAANTGGATGAGAAGTGAAACAACCTAAAAAACAAATAAACCAGAAAGTCCAGTTGCCTCTTGAAAAAAAAAAGCACCTTTGGGACAAGCAAGACATTTGTTAAGTGAGTTTTGCTCCATTTTACCACAATTCTTGTCCGAGTTAAGTGAATCATTGAGTTGTTAAGAGAATCACTGCAGTTGTTTAGTAACACCTTAAGTGAATCTGGCTTCCCCATTGACTTTGCTTGTGAGAAGGTCTCAATCATAGAACCCAGGGATACAAAAGCCATTATATAAATAGGAGTCAGTTGCCAAGCAGCTGAATCTTGATCACGTGACCACAGGGATAATGCAATGGTTGTTAAGTGTGAAAACTGGTCGCAAGTCACCTTTTTCAGTGCCGTTGTAACTTTGAATGGTCACTAAATAAAGTGTTATAAGTCGAGGACTACCTGTTCAAGCTTATACAAGGGAATGCAGGTCTTCCTTCCTCCAAAGCAGGGCATTTTCTCTATTGCCCCCATTCCCACGATCGGCTGAGCCCCATTAAGTTTGGAGGCCTGTTTTCTCCTCCCGTCAGTCCTGCTGCTTCCCCTCCAGTCTCACCACCACTTAAGTTATACCCTCCTCCCGCATGTCTCTCACCCCCAGGTTTAATTTCCCCCATCACGGCCTCGGAGCTCTGCCCTTCTCTCAAGGCTGGCGCTCTCTCTCCCTCTTACCTCACCCGTGCCGTTTCGACTCCCTCTCGCTTCCTCAGCCGCCGAGGGGCACCGAATCCCCCGAGCGACCAAGGCCGCCTTTACCGCGTCGCCGTGTTACCGCTAGAATTTACTACTAGGCCAAAAGCGCTTCAGGAGCTTCCACTTCCGGGTTAGATCACCGTCGGCGATAGGATATTCTCCCGGAAGTATATCAAGAGGAGGGCCGAAGAAGGGGTGGGGGGGGGACTTCCCAGGCGTCTACTCTAGGAATAGAAGAGGATCAGAGAGAAAGAGGCCACTTTGCCGGGAGGGCGGTGGGAATCGGACCCGGAAGTGTTACGTAAGGGCAAGTCCGGGTCGTGAGAAAGCCATGGCGGAAGTAAGAGGGAAGAGGCCATCGATCCGAGAGGCCGGGGGGGCGGGGCTGCGGTGGAAGCGATGCGGTACAACGAGCGGGAGCTGCTGTTGCTCTCCCGAAAACCGGCCGAAAAGGCGGCGGAGGTTCTCATGCGCGCCCCCAAGAAAGGAAGCGGTAAGGAGAAGGGGCAGTGACGTCACGGTGGGAAAGGGAGGGGGGATGTGACGACACGAGACCGGGGGAGGCTAATTGCGTCATCTGAGGGCGCTGGGAAAAAAGGAAGCGAGACATCCAAGGGCCTCTGGCATGACTGCCATCCCTGAGGACTAGACTCTTGAGTGGGCTTTTATCAGCCCTCTGGTTACTAGTCCTCAGTTCTAGCTTCTATGCAGTTTATGTCTTCCATAATCTCTTGTTCATTTTCACCATGACTCTGATTCATTTACCGATTTCATGTTTACGCTTTGTATATTTATTTTGTATTTGCCTTCTGCCTAGTGCCTCCTGGTCCCCGAAACTAATAAATTTATAGTAAAACACAGGTAGTCCTCAACCTACGGCCGCAACTGAGACCAAAATTTGTGTTGCTAAGTGAGAAATGTGTTAATCGGTACAATACGTGACAGTTGGTAACTTGGGAATTTTGCCCCATTTTACGACTTTTCTCCCCGCATTTGTTAAGTGAATCACTTCATTTTTTAAAATAGTAGCACGTGTTGCTAAGTGAATCTGCCCCCCCCCCCCCGACTTTACTTGTCAGCAAATCGCAAAAGGGGATCACAGGACTCTGGGACACTGCCACCGTCATAAATGGGAGTTTGGCTGTCAAGCCTCTGCATGTAAATCGCATGACCGTGGGGATGCTGCCACGGTCATAAGTGAAAAATGGTCACAAGTCACTTTTTTCAGTGCCGTTGTAACTTCGAACGGTCACTAAATGAACTGTCGTAAGTTGAGGATTACCTATAGTTAAGGTGCTAGTTTTTGCTACAACCGACTGACAAACAACTTCTAATGGAGTTCGTTTAAAATTACTTTCTTAATCCAAACATATTAAAATCTCCTTCCTTAATATGGCAGCATTTTTATATAATTTTTTAATATAACTATAGATACAGATGCACAAACCTCTAGTGCAGAGGCTTCCGTATTCGGAAGGCCCATCTGCCAAAGCAGGGTGCTCTGCTCCATACCTTTCCTTGGTATTTCCATCTCCTACTTCCTAGCCCCTTAGTTTGCTCAGTTCTTGAGGGGTGTGTGTGTGACTTTGGAGTTTCTCCCCATCATAATGCGGCAATCAATTCTGAGGTTTGTTTTAAGTACCAAACAGCAGCAAAGCAGAGGTACTGGGGTACTTTGGGTGTCCTGATTTCAGAAGGTGGTGCACTTGGGGGAATTAACTTCACTGTTGGCTTATTGGATAATGTCAGTATTGTATGTGATAATTGGTAACTTGCTGTGCCACTGTGAATACTAAAGCTATTCTGTTTAAGTGAACAGTTTGGCTATTTTGCTTATTCATATGCATGCATAAATACAGCATTATTACATCAGGGATTAATAACTAGACTCCTTTTAGCACCCCTTTCTAGATCTTATGATCCCCCCCCCGTTATGTTGGATTGTAATTCCTCACCCCCAGTAGGATAACACATATTTGATTTTAAGGATTTTAATGCCCTTTTTTGACCCTTCCAGATTTAATTTTCTTAATGCGAGTCTCCAGAAAGAGAATTATTAAAGGGCAGGGAAAAACTGTTCTCAGGCATTCTGAATCTACAGGACATAATGGGCCCATTTATTATAATATCGAGTGGTACTGATTTCATTAGGGGGCTAAATATTCTTAGGGCAACTTTTGAGGGTAAAAAGCTTTTTATTCTAACCACTCTTTGCCATGAAGTGACACAGGTAGGGAGACAAAGAGGTATCGTGTCATATACCGAAGCTAACAGTAGTTTAAAGGTGTTAATGTGCTACCTATGCTGGTAGGAATGGTTTGAGCATCCTTTGATTATAACTGGTCTCAGGTGCACAGTGTGGACCTGCTGGGGTGTAGCAGATGCTGAGTTATGCTATTCCAAACTCAGGGGCTGCTTACAGGCTTCCTGCTGACAACCCAGCTGTCAAACTGTGGCTGCCCAGAGTCACTTGGCTGTGTTGGGCAGCCATAGAAATCGAATAAATGAGTAAATAAAATTAAAAAACGGTTTGTTGTGTCCCTTTTCACTTTGCAGCCTTGAAGAAACGCCTGGTGAAATTAGTGGTCAATTTTCTCTTTTATTTCCGAACAGACGAGACTGAGGTAACAGTAGTTAGCAACGGTGTTAAAACGTGATATGAATTGCACTTTAATTGCACCTAGGTCTAAGGGGTTAGTGCATCTTGCAGTAATTGGGTGATCACTAAAAAAAATTTTTTTTCTGGTATTTGGCCGTCAACCAGGATTCAGGAATCTGTGGCCCTTCAGCTATAATTGAATTATTGGCTCTGCTTTCTGAGATGTATAAAAATCAGAACATCCAATATATCTGGAACAATAAGGTTGCCTACTTCTGTAATAAAAGTAAGAGTTGGGATGTATTTTTAAGTTCAACCTAGGCCAATTCTAAGGAGTGTGTGTGTGTGTGTGTGTGTGTGTATAGGCTGTTGTAGTGTTCTATGGTCATGTGATTGTGATTTGCGACTTCTTTTGCCATTTACTGGCAGAAGATTGCAAGAAAGGACCCAGGTTGTTGGGGGCAATATGCTGACTCTGTAAATTGCTTAGAAAGGGCTGTAAAAGCACTATGAAGCAGTATATACTGTATTTTTCGGACTATAAGACACACCGGTGTATAAGATGCACCAAGATTTTGAAGAGGTAAGTAAGAAAAAAAAGTTTTTGTCCTCCCTGGCCCCCATCAGCACATTGCAGGCTTCAGCAGGGCTGGGGGGAGGCAAAAATTTTCCCTCCCCCCAGCCCTGCTGAAGCCTGCAGAGTGCTTCTGGGGGGTAGGGAAAGGCAAAAATGCCCCAATTTTTGTGAAAATGGCCTGTTTTCCGCCCATTTTTCACAAAAATGGGATGTGGGGGCGGGGCTTAGGGAGGCCAAAAATGGCTGTATTTGGTGTATAAGACGCACCAACATTTCCATGTTCTTTTTTGGGGGGAAAGGTGCGTCTTATACTCTGAAAAATACGGTAAGTGTAAGTGCTATTGCTATTGCTATAAAAGCCCATGAGATATTGTGGATTCACTTAACACGGTATAGTTTGCTTAACCACCATGCGGGTTCCCTTAATGTCCACTGTGACTTACTTTCCACTTACAGCCATCATAAAAAGAGTTGTAAAATTGAGTCCAGTCACTTGGTGCCTCAACTTACAACCAATAATGACTGACGACCAAAATTTTGGGGTCCATTGTAGTTGTAAGTCAAGGACTACCTATAACACTTCCATCTTCATTGAAAAGTGGATCTGATTCTTTCTCTCCCTGCCCCTTTATCTCTCCTCAGCCCATTGGTGCTTTATTGTTGGAACACTGCAAGATCAGCAAAGAAGAAGGGAAAAACGTCTTTTCCATCAGTAAGTGCTTTAGGAAAGAGTTGTTGAGATGTTTGTGTCAGGAGAAAATTTCTCCCCCTTAGAAAATTGGCAGCCTTTCATTTTTAACATTGACAACATAACAACGTCACTGATTACGTTGAGCCAATTCGCCGGTCCATTCAGTCTCGGTTTGCTGGCTCTGACTGGCAGCTGCTTTCCCTATTTATAAAGTTATTTATACACACCCATTTGCATATTTTTTTACACCTGTTTGCACTACTCAGGTGATCCTGAGGGCACAGATAAGCCTCCCAAGTTGTTTCAGGGACTCTCAGAAAAGGTGCTAATGGCCAGGGGACTATACATCCATCTTCCACCCTTCAGTCAGAACTGAAGAAGCTTCTTGGATGAGAAGCGAAACATCTTCAAGGAAAAACAAAAGTCCAGTTGCCTTTTGAAAAAAATGCACCTTTTGGATAGCCATGACCTAATGACCGAGAATCTCTATAGACAGTTGCTATACATTTTACCCCCAATCTCTTCCTAGCAATGGGACTTGAGGGGGAGGAAGAGTTAAAAGATTAGGCCTCCTCCGAATTCCATCCGCCGGCCAATGCCGACTGGCGACTACCCGGAGGAGAGCCTTCTCTGTGGCTGCTCCGACCCTCTGGAACAAGCTCCCCATGGAGATTCGAACCCTCACCACCCTCCAGACCTTCTGCAAAGCCCTTAAAACCTGGCTGTTCCGATAGGCCTGGGGCTAAAGAGTTTTTGCCGCCCCCCTCAAATGGTATGGTTGTTGTGTGCTTTTAAATTGTGTATTGTTATGTTTCGTCTTTTTAAATCCAGCTAAATTTAAACTCACCCAATGATGAAAGGTT